AGGGAAAATTTCAGCACGGAATATGGTACCGGGAGGTCATTGTGCTTGTTGATGGATTGCGGGCCTAAGAACCATGACTCGAGCAGCTCGCGGCTCACGCGGTTGTCACCCCTTGAGAGGATTTCGGCCTTTTGAAATTTTAAAATATGGCCGGGCCCCGTCGAGTGTGCCGCCACCTGAGAATTAGCGTCTCCCCGCCTCACTGCTGCTGCGTTCTCGGCAATTCGCTTACGGAGTAATCTCCCAGTTTCTCCGACGTTGTCGCTTTGTCCGCAACTGCACTAGATCCGTTAAGCGACTCCAGACGTTTCTTGCTGCGGCAGTGGGTTTTTCGGCCTCATGACCTGGCTCCTTTTGGTTGCTTCACGTCTGTATGCAACTCCAACCCCAAATGGTGTGAGAAGGCAGCCGACGGCTTCTGAGACGTTCCTCACGTACGTAAGAGCTCGTCAAAATTTAGGACCTGTTGGATTTGTTCTCTCATGTCGTTTTCGTATCCATTAGTTGATAACGTTGCCCGGGCTGCCATTAGCTCTCAGTGCCCATCGGGGATTTTGTAGGTTAGCAACCTTGTCTTCCGTTTTCCTGCAATGAATCCCAACGCGCCGACATAGCCGCCTTACACAGCTGCGCGTGTGACCGATCGGGTGGTTACTGTTGTTGCGTCATATTCTTCGCTTTCCTGAACACTTTGGTTTTCAGGCCACCACAGTGATCGCATCTTCTTCCTCTGAACTGATTCCTGTGACTCACCTGTTCGCCTCTATCCGTCGTCTACATTTATTTTGCGCAGATATGATACCATAGCTGCCAGGAGCTGTTGATGCTAACTTTGGCACACGACTTTATTTTTTCGCTCCTGACAGATAACAGACGATGTTTGGCCTCTGTGTCTACACTGACAGTGAGGCCCTGGCGGTCAATCAGGCACTTGTTGTCTACATTGCACCTTCTTCCAAAAGAAGGGTATCCGCTTTCCGAAACTCAATTTACGTGCAATCAACTCGGATTGTAAGGCATCGGAGTATTGCCCTTTAACCACACCAGATCTCTGTTACGCATTTTCTCGAGGGTCCGTCCGCCGCAGGTCTAGGAATTTGAGGATTTTTAAAACTTTAAAGTGCATGGTTTGCTGGCATGCGTGAATTGAAAACATTGATTAAAATGGCAGCGTTAAAATCACGACGCTTCTATTTGTCCGCACCCGTTGATGGGTGCTTTAAAATAGAAACCTCGGGCATTTTTGAGCTACAGAGACTGGAACGCGATTGGCAGTGGAATAATAAGACAGTATGATATTGGTAAGTGCGTATCAATCTACTTTTCTTTTATTTGGACCGCGGAGTTGGATAAAAATCTGATTGGCAGAATAGTATTACCGACAAAGACGTGGGTGAAGGTGAATTTCAAAAGCAAACTAGACATTTCTGTCTATAAATTAAGCATGTCATACTTAAACCCCATAAACAAGAGAGGGAAACTTGTAGCAATTCGGTAAATAGTGCCGGTATAATTTATCGAACTGAAGTGCAATTCTGAAACGATTTTACAACGAGCTATTAACATTATAATTTATCGTCCAAGCGTTCCTCTCGTTTGTCAGATAAGTGCACGCAGATTCTCTGGACCGTTATCGCGATTATTTGATGGCCGTTTTCGTCCTGGTTTAAAATGCGGCCATTACTCCTTTTCGGCATCGAAACCGGTGAATACTCATCAGCTGGAATGGTTTTCTGAGTTATTTCTCTCTCGGAACGTTTGAACCTGTGTAGTTGCTCTGGTGTGAATGAGAATGAGGGCAGTTTGCTTTATTTTGAATTCATAAATTCAAAATTTTCAGCAAAAAATTGGCCTCATTCACCATCGACAGTAAATAAGTTAATAGGAATCAAAATGTTTGACACAAAAAGAACTATTATTATTGAGACAGTTCAGGTCATAGCTTCTATATTTCTATCTCTTTATACGCAAGATAGCGTGCCAGGAATGGCAGTACAGAATCTTGAAATGCCGATGTACGACAAGAAATAAGTCGGAAGCCGCAGCGCATCGGGTGGGAAGACCTCTCAGAAATAAGATCAGAATGCAAGGGATGGGCAACGTTATCTAGAAATCGACCAGGTAATTGCTTGGCCATTTTAAAATGTCGTTTTAGGATAATATGGGCCAAAAAGAGATAAAAAAACGCCACCGGCAGAATAGAGCATTCGGAGGACTCGTTTTAAAATTGACACACCTTTTTGAGCAAAGCAGGAAAAAGTGACAGGAAAGCAATAGATTATAAGAGAATGAATTCAGGCAGCTATGAATCGTCAGATTAAGGGTTGAGGTTTGTGGTGGAAACGTAAACAACGATAAGTTTCACGTCTTTATAACAAGCCGACACTACTACAGCAGCCTGATGCATCAAATCCGTATAGTCAAATTCTATAAATCGGATCAGGGTTAACACTAAGCAATTCAGACAAAGAAGCTGCGTTTAGTGGGTGCTGATCAGTAATAATCACACCTGATGATGCGTCTTTGCTTTGTTAGAAATATTATGTAGGATTCTGTTCCGCGCGTCACTTCGACCGTCATGCCCAACGATGTCCGCCATATGCTCCACAGCCAGATGAAAGCGGGCACGGGGACTCGTGCATGAATTACTTTATAGCGAGAGTATACTTGCGCAGCATCTACCGCACACTCTCCTCCTCCCCCACCTAAGCCCGGTGTCAAGACAAAGGCAAAAGACTGGAGACGTGGGGGGGCGTAGGTGATTGGCGTTGCCAAGCTCGCACCTTGCCCACTCTCTCATCCACACAGCAAATGATTAGGATTTTAATCAACAACTGCAGCACCACAACCAGTCGGAAATACGAGACCGGGAAGCCATGCGCACGACCTGTATACACGAACGGAGCGCAAGAGCATCTAACGACAGGTAATCAAGTGTCAGGGGACTGCCAGCGAGGACCAGAATTTGCTAACCCTGGTATACCAGAGGCTTACAGACGTTTAACCCCAACGACATTTACATGGATTTCTGCAGGCCATCAAGTGTGCTCGAACGCAGAGACTTCTATCTAATTGGTTCACAATGAGTCCTATGTTTCGAACCAACTAAGCGATCAGTCCAGTTATTCGTTAAATTAGGGCTTCCCAAATGCCCACTCTCCTCTGTTTTTATCGTCTTCGCTTCTCAGTCAAGTAGGTGAAAAAGTTTGGAAGCGTATGCTATGCCAGTATCAGAAAACCATGGCCCTCGCAGCGTGGTATGCGCTGGCAGTTCCCTGCCGGTAGATGCGCTTGCATTCCTGCTGGGTATGTAGGTGGTAGGCATGACTGCCCAGTCACCCTCGCCCTTCTGACCCCTGTCGGGGTGGCACGCCTAGGTGCGGGTCCGGCCACGCCAGCCACCTACGCCCCCCCTCGCCTCCGGTCTTCTTGACTCTGTCGTGATACCGGCTCAAGGTGGGGACTGGGAAGAAGAGAGTGAGGTAGATGCTGTGCAAGTCTATAACTATGCACTAATTCACGCGCAAGTCACCGTGCCTGCTGCACCTTGGTGGGGAGCATACGGTGGACATCGTCGGGCACGACGGTCGAACTCTCGATCGAACACGAGTGTCTTGTTAACCTGCGACGACGCTAGTCCTTGTTCACAGGTCTCGATCAGTTTCCGGAAATCTTGGTTTTGGGGACAACGAACGGCTTGAATAAGCAGCCAGTTTGAGGCGAGTTGGCTTGGGACATCAGCCGCGCATGACATTTCCAATAGAAATCAGGGGTACTGCTATCTCTCTCTCTCTCTTACCGAGCACGGATGTGTAAGCGCTTTCATAAAAACTGCCATTTTATGCATTAAAAGAGGCCTTCAAGGCATAGTCCGTTTGATTCCGTGTCAAATATTTAAAAACACTACACTTCATTTTCAGAAGTGTACCTATTTTCATCATTCCCGTGTTACGAGTGGTCTTACTTTGTCATCCTCCGCAGCGGCTAGTCTGTTCCACAAGAGTCCGTGTATCATTTTAATGTTTACTTACTCCCAACCACCCTCCGACGCGTGCAGTGTTAGGCCGAAGCAGAAGCCCTCCTCACCTGTTTCTAATTCAAACTAACATTTCGGTCTTCGCCCTGATGCTCAAATTAAGCGAAGTGTTGGCTAGACGGTGACTCCGCCATCTGGACTACACGGCGTTGTGATGGACGAGTGTGATAACTGTGGTGGACTTCGATGATTGGGTGTTCGTTTATAGGCCCGAACCAGCCTCCGTCCAGCCACCCGCGTATGGTCCCCTCGATTGGACACAAGAAATTCGACAAAATCCTTCTACTAGGCAACTGACCGACAATGGCCACCGTCAGTAATGGTCCACCCTACCTGTCCATAGGAATCATTTAATGATTTATCCTGTAAGACACAGAGGCCTTTAAAATTAAGCCAAACCGTTTATTTATTATAAGCACGCCTTTCCCCAAGGCGTGTTTCTAGACTTGCCCAGCGCACTAGGCCTCGATCTCCAGTCACAAGCCATGAGTTAAAGCCTAGTCGGTTACTTAGGAGGAGATCAGTGTAGAGTGAATTAAACGCAAATACATTGGCTCTTCTTAATTATGCCGTACAGACACTCGTAGATGATGTAAACAAACGAGAACAAACCCATTCCTGACGGTGCAGTGTTGTTCATACGAAGATGTTGCTAAATAGGAAGCGTGAATCACACCCGTATGTACGCAGTTGACCCAAAGTATGTGCCGATGACCGTCTTATCTCAGCCATTGCATTTACAATAACAACGGCTGGTCCTGAGATTGGGGGTGTTTGAACATGCATCAACTCCTGCAGATTAATCGTAAACTCCAGTAATCAAATCCATTCGATCTACGAGCCAGGACAATGTCACATTTGATGAAATTAGGAAACTGGTTAAGATTTTAGAAGCCGTAGTCCAATGATGGAGAGCTGATTCCAATGCACCGGTATTTCAACGGTATTTAACGAATGGCGACAGATGAAACCAACGGACACGGCACTGGCCCGGTTTTATGGATTACCCAAAATCCACAAGCCCAATGTTCCCCTTCGACCAATCGTTGCCTTGAAAGGCAGCCCCACTTACAATCTATCCAAGTGGATGGCCCGAAAACTTAACTTTCTCCGAGAAGGCTCAAGGACCTCCATCAATTCGGCCTCCGAATTCCTGGCCGACATCCGAGGAAAAGTTGTCCGACCGGAGCAGATCATGGTGTCCTTTGACGTGGTTTCATTATTCACGTCCATCCCACCGGACCTGGCACGCGACGTTCTTCGCAAACGACTAGAAGAGAATTACAACGAGACGAACAAACCCCTAGAAATCGACCACTTACTGCAACTTTTTGCCTTCTGCCAACAAGCCTTCTTCACCTTCAATGGCAGAACATACGAGCAGATCAAAGGAACGCCGATGGGTTCGCCAATATCCAGCCTGGTTGCAGAACTAGTCCTGCAGGAACTGGAAAAAGTCGCCTTCGACCACTATGAACCTGCATTTTGGCGCGGGTACGTGGACGACACGTTCGTCATAATTGAAAGGAGCAGACTGGCCGACTTCCAAGAACTTCTCAACGGCATCTTCCCAGACATCCAGTTCACAAGGGAAGAAGAGCATGCCGAAGAGCTGCCTTTCCTTGACGTTCTCGTCACACGCACACCCAACGGCGAACTCAACACCACGGTGTACAGAAAGACGACTAACACGACTCAGATTCTCAACTACCACAGTAACCACCCAATGGCGCATAAACGCAGCTATGTTAGGACACTCTTCCAGAGGGTAAAAACGCACTGCAGTGAACCAGAGGGACGAGTACGAGAACTTCGGCATCTTCGGGACCAACTGGCAAGGAATGGATACCCGAACAGCTTCGTCAGCCGCTGCCTCCGCACGCGCCCACGGCGAACAAACAGAGGAGAGCCACCAACACTCTGGCACCCTCTGCCATACATAAAGAACGTATCCGAAGCGATGGAACGTATCGCTGGAGAGCTCGGCGTGGGTATCGCTCACCGTCCGACAGCGACCATGCGCAACAAAATCATGCAAGTGAAGGATCGCCTAGACGTGGGTGAATAATCGGGCGTCGTCTATCAGATCCCATGTCGGAACTGCCCTCGCCACTACACTGGACAAACCGGACGACGACTTTGCTCACGAATAACGGAGCACAAACGGGCGGTCAAGAGAGGCGACCCGTTGCCTCAGGTCGCCACTCACACCCTGGAGGAAGGCCACGAATTCAACTTTGCGAGCACGCGGATAGTGGCGCGGGCCAGCAATAAGACAGGACGAGAACTGTTAGAGGCCTGGGGGTCTGACACCAACGCTATCAACAGGCGCGTTGACATACCCCCCCTGCTATCACGCGCTCCGTTCCCGCGGCCAAGGGGCGAGACCCAATTTCCAGCCAAGGGTGCACGCAGTCACGCCACCGTGAGACGGCGTGGAACTCAGCTTATCGCGAATACCAACCTCTGCACTCATATCTCCCCCCCCCCCTTCATGGCGTGACTACAAAAACCACTCATTTGATGTTGCCTTCTCACAGTCTCTGACGATGGCCTCCTGTACGAGACCGAAAGCTCAGACTAATAAACTCACTGTCCCAGAGATCGGGTCTTCATCTTCTTTACAGTTGTAGAGAGTCTCCATATTGCCGGCATTACAGAGGAACTCTTCAAAGGGTTCTGAAGATGGTTCAAATAATTTGACTGCAAAAAGTACCCGAAGACCGTGCAGGTATTTGAAAAATGAGCTGAAACTACCAAAAATGATCCTGATCTTATAGCAACACTACGTGACTTATAGGAGATAATCTCAGGACATGACCTAAGGCTGTTTGACACGCAGAAATGATTGGTCTTTGCTCCAAATTCTGTTTCATATTGCAATGAGCTTATGGAGACGATTAGAATTTCAAAAATGTCGAAAAGTGAGTGGCCCTAATTGTTCGTGTTTTGTTTATTTTCCGCGGATATTAATGCGCGAACTTGGAGTAAATATTTCAGAACAGACCTTTTCAAGCAGGTTCGAAATTAGGTATGAATATTTAAGCCGAAATTCATCAGCTATTGCGGAATAACCGTGTAATATTCATAAACCTTCAACAGACAGCCAGTAGCATGAAATTGTGTCATTATCTACCGTACTAACAACACAGCTTTTAGTTAAAAACCCATGTACTCGTGTTGTGCCGATCTTGTACCGCTGCTTGACGCAGCTGTGAGAGATTCGACTGTCTAAAAATGAGTTTTCAAATGGTTTCGAACTACTTGCAGGAGCTCTGCAAGTTAATGACAACGTCTATTAAACAAAGAATAACCTCACTGTCGTGTATCGGCCATTTAAAATTTTTTAAAGTTCATCTTTTAAATATTCGCCTTCAGTTATTTACCTGTTATTCTCTGATACCAAGTATTTCTCTAACTGAGGGGGTAGGAGTTCCCTGGGGTAAGTGTAGTTTTTGTCTAAATTTTAAATCCTAATACTGTCTATCGATAAAATTTTGATAATTTGCCTTTCAAATATACCTGACAGGCATTTATTTGGAGCACTAAACTAGCGAAGTGTTTTGTGTGCATTTTGCTCACTGAGCATCAAAAAGAAGGAAAACACTTATTTCAGGACCGTAAAAGTTTCGTTCATTTCAAGAGTGTCGTTTTGTTTTGAAAGATGAATAATCTGTCAGTGCCAAAACTCAAAACGAAGTTTTCTTTAAGCGAATGATTTCAGAAAATATTCAGTGCGGTACATGGCTTTTTAGAGTCAGACCCAAAATTTCAATAAACATTCGAGTTGAAGACAATCAAATATTCCGCGCAGTGCAAGAGTTTAGGCAGATTACATGTCTGGGCTTCTAGCTGGTATCTCTGCCGGGAGTACGGTATAATAGCTTTACCAAAGTCTTCTTCCTTATACCAAAAATAAAACATTTTTTGGAAGAAAGATTGACCTAAGGTGATGCCGAAAAATTTAGCATATGATCGAATTCTGATTACCGTTTGGATCGTCTTATACCGTAGGCGGGCTAAGTTATGAAATGTCAACCGAAATTCCGAAATGCGCTTTTTTTTCGAAAAGATCAATTAAGCAGCGTTGTAAAAATAATCAGCCCGCAAAATGATTCTATAATATTTCAGTTACCTCAAGATGCCGGCTTTCGAATGAACCTCCTTCCGGCTGCATGAAAAAGCTACACTCTGTAAAAAATGACTTCTTGAAGAGCATAAATTTTTCTCATTGATTTTCGATGCCCCCAAAATACCAATTATATTTCATGGAAAATACGCATACAAATATTCATTCCTTTTCTCATTCGGTAGACAATTACGTTTTCTTTCAATCTTATACTTGAAGGAAGGGCATAATTCGGTTTTCAAAAACTTTTCCATTTCCCGAATAATTTTGAACCAGCTCTGCATTTACACTTGGATTCAGGGTTTTCAAAATACAAGACTTATATTTTCCGAGTACGCAAATCCACACATTTCGCTACGGTATTAAGGGGACCATATAGGGATTATAAAATTTAGCAGTAAATTTGATCTATATTGTTATCTTTACAAGCCACATTGGTAAATGCCGAGACATGACGATTTATGAACGGCCATTTAACGGTATTTAATAGTCCCACAATTAGAAACTTTTTTTAAAACCGAATTATGCTCCACCTTCGAGTATAAAATTAGAAGAAAACATAATTTTCTACCGAATGAGCAAAAGAACGGATATTTTTATCAATGCTTTTGATGTGTTCCAGCAGGCAGCGTAGACAGTACCTAGTTTGGTCGGCCGTAGGTGTAGAAGCCCCGCTGCATAAAAATATGCTTTTCCGTCGATTTTTTGATTTCGTCTAACAATTAGAACGCTACTGGCCGCTTTGATGAAAGCTCAGTCTATTTAGGTTTTGCCTTTGATGCAAGGGTATTTTCGTTTTAAAAACAGTAACTATGAATATCGTTCATTGCCTAAATAGGTTCGTGCATATGTTCCATAAAACTGTAACAGTCTACTTGCATTCTGTACTCTCTGCCTGGATAATTGCTTGTTCGTGACCTTTGCCGGCAATACGGAGCTTTTTTGCTTCGGGAAGTCAATTTATCGGTGTGCACTCATTCCTGATTGAATAAATACCTGATCTGCATCGTGAGAGAATGACGGGTGGCGACGCACTGAAGAAATTCGGATCGAGAAGGCCTGTGACCCATATGCTAGAACCCTTTTCTAGACCATCTACAGTGCATACGAGCGCGTCTTTGTGTTTTTGGTCCCAGCTGAAGCTCAGTGTCGTAGTTTCTGAATGAAGGGAGATTACTCCGGACGCGGATGGCCGAACACGCAGCATCGTTGAGGAGGAAAGACGCCAGCTCTCAGTTGGCGGCTCCTTCCCAGAAACCGAGCAATATTTTCAAACTGCAAGAGACCGAAATGCTTGCAGGAGCTGAAAACTGCGTGATCCGCGAGCTGCTCAAATCATGCTTTTCAGGCCTGCAATCCATCGACATGCCCAATGATCCCGGCACTATATTTGGCGCCGAGGCATTCTCTGAGCAAAGGAATCAGTCACGTTGGGGGGTCTCGGACGACCAGCGATCCCAGTGACGCGAGCCAAATAGCCAAGGGGTCATCACGCCAACATCAAACACGCATGATAAGATTGAAGAAATTAACGACTCGGCCGCAGACTGCCGAGCTTACATCGCATTAATACTGTCTCCTCTTACGGTGATTGCGAGAGCTGTAAATTAAAGTACGCATATGGCCCCACGGCAGCTACGTATTATAAATACTGCAGCCTTTCTGCCTCCACTACCTTCACTATCTGAGACTATCTCTGATGATGAGTTCGGGTGACAATCCGAAACGTCATGCCAATAAATTTCTTACTCCAGTGACAATCTCTTCTTCTTTGAGCTGCTTCCTGGAACTCTCCTGTCCGTTTCTATTGGCAAATATTTTCCTTTTGAAATCATCTTAAAATCATTTTAAGGCGTCCGGACGTCCCAAACCTGTAATTGAAATACAAACAACGTTTTAGATGCACTGCTTTTTCCCATGTCCTTATAAGATAAAGCCGGGAAACTAATCGATCAAGCTACCGGCATGACGATCTGATCATAATTTTGGATATTAGTTGTTGGACTAGCTGTCTAAATCATCTACCAGAACACAAAAAGTAATTAACAGGACACGCCATGCGAACGATTTTCTACCCTGGCGTGCAGAAGAATAATACCCAGACGTTCAAATATACCTATATACCTCGAGGTTTTGGCAGTCAAGCGGACTTACGTCAGTCATCCAAGAAAATTCCACTCAGTAAAGCAATTATGCTGGAAATGATAACAGTTTGTTTTTGAGGAATGACCTCTTTTTTAATTCGAAGCTCGAACTACGCAAACATTTTGTTGAAAACATTTTTTAAGGTTATTTGCGCGAAGTAGTGTTTTTATTAGCGGGTGTGTCATGTCAATGGTGATCATCTTGACCGAAGAGAAGGCTTTCTGGAACACCTCGGTCAAGGCGTCTTCTAATGAGCTCACTTAGGCAGCATTGAAGAATATATCTTTTTCCTCCACTGTCTTGCAGATGAAGCTATCCTCTCACTGAGTATGTAGAAAGTGAGTTGCGAACGCATTAAATAATTGCTGTTTTGATCCATTCGCATTTTCCCACTAGGTTGCCCTAATGAGCGATCGATATTTGTTTTGGTCGTCACGCACGGGCTAGGTGTTACATGAATCGCAGATTAAGTAAAACAACCCGAAATCGAATGACAAATATTTTTTTTATTTTAATATAATCAATGTGTTGACATCGACTAAAAGTTTTAAAAGGTTAAAAAGACTAGCCACCAATCCTATACTAAAATTATATGTTTTAGTTTGTTGTTCGTTAAAAAGAACATGATCAGTACACACTCAGGAAGCGTCCTAATGACCTCTCGCGGCACGTAGCAGATGGTTTTGAACTTGTTATTGGGTGTTATAGGGTTATGCTGCATGATAATCAGTATAACAACCCCTCTTAAGTAATCTTTCCTAACCGGAAACGCATTCCAGAATTTTGGCCGATAT